TATATCATAATGTGAAAAGAAAAATACAAAACCAGCAGGTGTGGTCACATTATAGAACTCAGGTCAGACTCATAAGGCAAGGTCTGAAATAAATCTATTTTAACTTGGAAAAGATTCAATTCATAGACAGAGGGGCTTTAATGGGTGTGCAAGGCAGCTAAGTGGGTGGGCGACAGAACTAAAGTGTGAAGTTTGTTGTAAATGTTTATATCTATGAAAATACTGCCTCAACATTGGTATAATCTTTATGTTTTAGAAAAGCACTGATGACATGTCGCTGCATCTGTGTGGAGATTAGAATAAGGAGCACTGATAGCATACGGAGGCTGAACAAAGCACTGTTAATGACGTCTACATCGACGAACCGCCCTCAGTTACAGGGTCGCTGGGATATTATGAAAAGGTTGCCTCTCCATGACTGAAAACAAAGGAGTTTCTGTTTTGATTTTTCCTATATCTAGTCCAGATATCAAAGCATTTCTGCTCTCATTCCATTGGCTCCTCCTGCTCTGCCTCTGGAACTTCCTCTGCTTCTCTAACATCCATCGGTTCTGGTGTGTCCTTGACCTCCTTCCTTTCTTCCTCGCTGGGCGGCGGTGCTGCTGATTCCCCCTCTCCGTCTGATTCTACAGCGTCGGCCGGTGGCTCTGGCTCGGGGATTTGAAGGTTGTGCTTGACTTTATTCAGCTCCGCCATGTTGAAGCCCAGCAGGATGACAGCTGTGTTCCTCTTGAGGCTTTTCATGCACTTGCTGCGCTTCTTGCTGAATTGTCCAGCCAGCTCTGATTTGGTCACAGACAGCCTCCTGCACAGCTCCTCGGTCTCCGGTTTGGTTGCGTAAGGGTTGGCGTTGAAGTACTTTGAGATGAACTCTCGGCGCTCCTCACTGCAGCGTCGCTCCACAGTGGTCGGTTCCAACACAAGTTTGACCGAAGGGTCGCTCTGGACCTCTGGCTCTGGTGGGGGTGCTTGCTTCCACTCCTGCAGCTCCTTCTCCCTTTCCCGTCTCTCTTGCTCCCTCTTCTTGCGCAGGGCGGCTCTCTCTTCCCGCTCTCGCCTGTTGGCCTCCATCGCCTCCTTCAATGCGGCCTCCAGCTTCCTCTTGAGCTGCCGCTCAGCCTCAGTCTCTGGGGGCTCCACAGAGACCGGCGCAGGGGCTGGCGCAGGGGCCTGAGCTCGTATCACACGAGCCGGCGCTAAGGTCCTTGTCATCGTCATTCCCTGTGGCACTTGGAGGAAGTAGAGTCCGGACTGCTGACCAACCTGCTGAGGTGGTTTTAACGGTTGTGGTTGCTGCGGCACCAGTGTGGGACCTGGGGGTTTCGGAGGTTGCGCTGGCTTTGGAGAACAGCGGCATCGCTTGATGTGAAGCATCACTGCCTGCTGGGTGACCTTTCCTGTGTAAACACCATTGCAGTAAATGCATTTGAATGCCTCGGTCTTCAGGATTGCATGAATGGTGGGCGCAACAAAGTGCTTCTGTTTCAGATGCAGGATGTGATCAGATTGATTCTGAAACCTCTCGTTGCAGAAGGGACAGTAGGGGCTGTGGATTTTTATGGGTGCTGCGCAAACGTCTTGGTGGGTGCTGGCCTGCACCTTAAAAAAAATCAAGTCGAGAGAACTCGTGACAAGGGCGAGGTTGACCTCCGCCTCTCCCAGGACCTCCTTCGGTGCGGTGGTGCAAACGTCAAAATGAGGAAAGAGGATGCCGCCGTTACCTTTGGAGTAGATCCTAAACTTCTGCCTGAGGAAGTCACAATACACCTTGCTTGCTGGATTGTGCAGCTTTACGTGCTCTACAAGCTGTTTGACCGAAAAGAACAAAGCGGAGCAGTACAAACAATTTAGCCCATGAAGCAAATGTTGGAAGACTATCTTATCTGTTAGCAGCACTTTGCACGTTAGGCATTTGACAGTCTTGTCGGGCATTTTCTTCAGGAATGCTGCTCGGGCAGCGACACTTTCTGACTTGGAAGTGGTTGATTTGGTCTGGTGGGCGGCCTCGGTGTGCATGTCGAAGACGTTTGAAGGGAACAGTTCGTTGCAGAGGGGACAGGTGATCCATTTCTTGGTTTGTGGTGCCGAGTTACTCAACTGCTCAACAGGCTTGAGGGGGGTGGATGTTCTCTGAGAAACGAGTGGAGCGAATGTGTACGTAGGCATGCCATTCACTCTGTTCCCAGTTGGGATGAGGTGACTCAGCAGGGACTGTGACGTCATCATGGTACCTTGGAGGGGAGTGTGGTTTATTGGTGCATTTTGAACAGCCACAGCAGATTTGGGGGCGGCTCCAGGAACCAGACTGGCCTGAGGTCCTGCTGGAGGAACCATTTGCTGCCCTGTTGAAACCAATTGTGGTTGAGCTACAGTAGAAGATATGGTCACTGGGCTCTGCTTTAGAGACACATTGGACACTGTTGGAAGCTGGACCACGGACTGCCCCTGGGGCAGAGCGCTCCTTAGAGCTATCGTGGCGCCAGGCTGGAGCAAACCTTTAGCTTCAGCACTAGCCAGCTGCACCAATGCTGAAGCTTGTGGTGGCAGAAAAGCTTGGTTGGTTCCAGGGGCACAGATCAGAGTCGTACTATTTGCGTTTCCCTGCAGCTGCTGCACGGCTACCACTGTGCCGGCAGTTTGGCCGTTACTGGGTACAACTAAGGAGTTATTGGGAAGTATCTGAGGCGTTTGTGGTTTGGGAGCAATATTTGGGAATGTGACCAACAACCCATTGCCATTAGAAGTAGGTTTACCGGTGTAGTTCTTGTTTTCTGTTATTAGACTCTGCACCTGTGTGGTGACTGTGTAGTGTGACGGCTCGACCAACATGTGGTGCAGCATTTGGTCCAGAGTTCCAGTGTTCACCTTGCACACCTTGCAGCAGTAGATCTTTACAGCCGTAGACGCCTGCTGGTGTAATCTATAACCGATGTACTGCTGGGCCAAGTGTTCCAAGTGCTTGAGAATGATGTGCTTCTTTATGGCGAAGATGGAGGAGCTTGGGAATCCACACCTTCGACAGTGATACCTCTCAGCCGAGCGATGGGTGAACGAAGCTTCCTTCTGTATCTGCATGTTTGGGACGGGCAGTTTGGCGTGGAAGTAGAGCATGTGCTTCTTAACGATCTTGGGGTGAGAGATGAAGAGGCATTGGGAGCAAGGGACCAGCGTACAATATGTCTGAACATACGCATGGCAGCGAGAGATGTGGCTTCTGAAGTTGTAGAGGTTTTGTGACGAGTATTTGCAGAGGGTGCAGCACAGAGATCGAGACCGATAGGGCCACTAGAGAGATACAATAGGAAGATCAGGTTAATTTTTAGGGTGTTCAAAACAAACTTCTGTCAGATGCTACATAATTTAGCTGCTCTTAAAGATGATCAAATATTAGTATAATTGGAATTAAATTTTTTTTTTTATGCAGAGCGAAAATATTAGGTTTATTGTAAACAACATGCAAGTTATCCTGGTGGAAAAATAAAGAAAATCACCTTCTTCTGCTGTCGGATACTGAATCCCTCTGTGATATCAATCCAATCTGTTCCTTGAAAAGCTTCCTCCTCTTCTGAGTTTTTGTCATCTTGGTTTTCATCTAGCTCCTGTGTAGAAAAAGCAAAACCATATTACAAAACATCCCTTGAAGAGTGGAATAGAGACATCCCAAAAAATTAAAATATCCACTCTTAAATCATCAAGTCTATACATTTTAATGGTTGCTACCCTGAATAGATCTTGTGTTTATCGGCCTTGGGAGCTGGAAAATCAAGGTAAGTTGCTGCACTAATGAAATAATGACTATAATTCCGTATTAAGCTTTATCTCCCCCTCCTTTTTTAGCTTAATAAGCTAAAAAGGATAGAAAAGGCTTATCTGAGTGGTTCAATTCTTCTTTTAATTTTTAAAAATAAAATCAAACTTTTTCTTAAAACAAATGCCCCAGCATATGTTTTATAAAGAGGGGAATTACAGAAGGAAACTGAAATCTTCCAATTTAAATTTTTTTTTCTCCATACTGCCCCACCCTAATAATGATCTGATTTCATCAGACTGTAGAGTTGTGCTATTTCTAATAATAATAAGCCTTCCACAACACCTTTTAAAGGGAGAGTATTAACATACAATTGATGCTGAATCGATCTACTGATACGTTTGGCCAAAAAAAGCTATTAATTTGGTCTTGATTTCAAGTTAAGTTTAAACTCCAGAACATAAAAGCTATTCTCACAACTAAAATTTAGCTTAGGTGGAAGGTATCATTTCAGTTTAAAAAGATCATATCAGTATCAGGCATGTTTATTTAGATGACATGGCTCATTAGAAAATACCTAAAAGACGTAGAACTTCTGCTGGCTCATTAGGCACAGTCCCAGGACCTTTCTCACGAATAAAAACATCTTTTTTTTTTAGATGATATTGAAGATTTTTTTCTTCTTTGGAGTCCACTGAGGTTGCTGTATTGCTAAATTATTTGCATAATTTGTAGGGCCAGCGTGTGCAGTCACACAGTTAACATGTAAAGTCATGTAAAAAAAGTTATGGGGTTCAGTCGCAAAGTTACATTTGTAGCCTAGCGATAAATAAAACTAGTAAGATGTGTTGTGAACTTTGGAACATTAAAAACAAAACATACCTTTAGCCAGTTCTGACAGTCTTCAAGGCCGATCTCACTTAGGATATTCTTCACTGCTTTCCGAGCCCTTCTAATTTTTTCTACATTTCCTACAGGAAGCTGATACATGATTCACCACAAACCTAAAAGAGAGATAGAAAAAGAATGATTTGAAAAGATGGTATAATTAAACAATCTCTAAAGGGAACTAAATAAAAATGTAGGGATGTCCCAATACAACATTTTAATATACTATACAATACCGATAAGCTTTAAGTTTTGGGTTAGGCACAATATTTATTTTTCGTCTGGCATGTTAGAAAAAGCATGGTCGGGTGATATTACTCTGAGACAAACAGTCAACAGAAAAAGAAAGAAGAACAACTGACTTTTTGGCTGCAACTAACAATTATTTTGCAAATTGACAATGATTCAAAACGGCTGCTAGTTTAACCTGCAAACTTAAGCCAACAGATTCCTTTAGCTAGGTTTGCATTTCATGGGATGCAACAACAGCATCTGGTTCCTCTCTTCCCAAACTAAAAGGGTTGCAGCTTAAACTTGTGAACTAATTTATATCAATCCCCATAATTGGTCAAATCATGCAAATAAGATATCTTTTGACATTGTGTTCTTAATCAAAGGCTTTTGCACACAGAAAAAAAAAAAAGACAGACAGACAGAAAAGTGAGTAGTGAGTCGAGTGAAAAAGGGCCAAAAGGCTGCGTGTACCCTAATGTACCATCCGACTCCAGCATTCCAACACTGCAACATTTCCACAGCCCAGATAACTACAGATGTAGAACAGAACCACCTGGTACACACATTTATGACTCTTATCAGATTCTGTGATCATGTGGAATAGTGTAACCGACAACCTTCATTTACTTATTGACTGTTACAACCCTCAGGTAACTGTCTGTTAGATTAACCAGCTCAATGTTTTTCATATTATTTAAAAAGCTATCAGTTGTCTGAATGTGCCTCATTTCCAGAACAGGCAAATCTCGATAATTAAAAATATAACACAGGGCTGGACGCTTGGCTTTTCTAGTAGTGATCCCAAATAAAAAAAATTTCATTCACAGAAAAAAAATATTAAAATTATTTTAAAAAATCCTTAAATAGCACCATTTGAAAATAATATTTAAATTAACCTGGGTAATAATTCATCTTTAGTGAGGCTGTCTTTTTTCAAATGGGTATTTCCAATAGAGCCCGACAAATATGGGACTTTCAAGGCTGATATACATATCAGGGGTTTTAAAAAAACATATTGGCAAATATATCTGATATATCGGCCAGAATATAAAAAAAAATAAACTGAACATGGACATACAGGGGATATGCCAAAAATATGAATTAAAAAAAGGTTGGAAATTAAAATAAGCAACTTTAATATGAACAGTGTCACCATAACACCCTAAATACAATGAAGTTTTGAGGTGCCGATTTAGATATTGCCTGAAATTTAGAACTTAGCTCAAAAATTTTATTTCTACTTCATTTTTGCACTGCTCTGAAATTCCATATCAATGCATTTTGCACAATGTTTTTCTTCCACCCTGATTACATTTGATCACTGCTGCACTTTATGAAATTGAAATGCTCATTTCACTGTTAAGCTGCTGCTCATTTACTGTCTAAAAGCTGTACAGAAGAAATCTGTCTAAGTCTAAGAAAGCTGTTAATCTGTGGCGTTTCTTTTCTCCTTATTGGGGCTGGAGCCCTGACTAACTTTAACACTGCAGATGTTGCATCCAACAGCTGTTACATCCAAGTGGCTCCACACCTGTTACTTTCTTACTGTGAAATGAATATATATATATACATTTAGTGGAATTTTGCTAATTAGATTTAAATTCTACAGATGAGAATTTCAAAATTAAAAGTGGCTGCATAGAGCTTAAAGTGATAACAGACTGGCTAATGGGAGGCTTTTTTTTATATCTGATTAATTCACAAAAACACCTCAGAAATATTAATATGTCATATTTAAGTGCAACTGAGATGTTACCTCCAATACTCTAGATCAGGGGTGGGCAATTCCATTTCCTGAAGGCCGGTATCCTGCAACTTTTAGATGTGCTTTTGATTCGACACACCTGAATCAAGTAATTAGATGATTGAGAGGATTCTGGAGGACCTAGCTGCCTGCTGAGGAGGTAATTCATCGATTTGATTCAGGTGTGTCGAATCAAAAGCACATCTAAAAGTTGCAGGATACCGGCCTTCAGGAAATGGAATTGCCCACCCC